ATTTTGTTTTAAGCAAGAGTCAAAATAAAGTAAATGTTAATATAAGTAGATTTTACAATTATGGATTCAAGAAATACAGCAGGTTCAACAAGTTGAGTTTGAAATTCTCACAGGAATACAGGAGTGGTCGCAGGCTAAAAGTAAAGAGGATCTCTCAGGTGGCGGGTCATAACTCGGATCTCATTGGGAGAAGAGATTCATCGCAGTAACATCAGTGTATGGCATTAATAATGTCAAAAGCATTAAACAATAACTGAGCATTAAGTGTGTGGAGGAGGGCGGGGAAAAACTATCATAGGTGGAGGGTGAAAATAAAGATATCTCTATGGATGTCAAAATGGAGGTGTTTTTGGTGGAAGGTATAAATAAAGCGAATCTCGGTTAAAGGTTAGAAATGAAGCGCATCTTGCATGCATGAAAATAAGCAGATTTTACATGTGGGAATCGAAATAAATGGAATCTCGGGTGGGGACTTAAGTACATCTCAGATTGATAGTAGAAATAAAGATCTCACAGGTAGATGGTAGAAATAAGGCAGGCCAAGGTGAGGGGTCAAGGTAGATTGCTTTACATCGCTTTAAACTCTTGGTTGAGTAATAAAATACTGTATATAAACGAAGTTAGTTTATTTCATTTATTATGTAGCCCACACCCATCCCGAGTGTGGTTTTGGGGAAAAAAGGTTAGTCACATAATTAGCTCGGGAACTGAATCCCAAAATTATATACACTAGACAATTTGCTTTTGTGAGTTACTGTTTGACACTTTTTTGTATAATGCTACAGGGGTAGTGATCTAATGACGTTACTGTAGGTAATGTTATGGTCCATGGTCATGAGACTGCCTAAGAGACTTGCAGGCAATGTAAGCTTACAAATAGTGTGTGCAAACTTGGGGAGCCGAGCGGACAGCACACTGGACTTGTGATCCTGTGGTCCCGGGTTCAATCCCGGGCGCCGGCGAGAAACAATGGGCAGTTTCTTTCACCCTATGCCCCTGTTACCTAGCAGTAAAATAGTACCTGGGTGTTAGTGAGCTGTCACGGGCTGCTTCCTGGGGGTTGAGGCCTGGTCGAGGACCGGGCCGCGGGGACACTAAAGCCCCGAAATCATCTCAAGATAAGATCTCTCAAGATAACCTCGCCAGGACTTTGGGAAATATGTCTTTCCAGATCAGATTTCTTTTCTTGAACATTACGGGATAGATTCGTCTCTTAATTCTTTGCATTTTCCTACCTTCAGTTAGTGACATAAGGTCATTGTGTAAGGCCTCTCCCAAATTGTGGGTGAGGAGGGTCAACGATCCCGTTCCTTCCAACAGTTAGTATTTAGTTACTGGTTTTATATCATTAGCGGCGCAGCTTGCTCATTAATTACATTGCTTTGATTATATAATGTGTGTGCATTGACCCAGAAATGGTATGTGTGTGTGTGGGAGGGGGGGGGGATGGATTTAAATTATTTTGAAAGTGGGATGTTAGCTAGTTCTAAGATTCTGTACGTATAGTGGCAGCCAAGAAAATACATAGATTTAAATAGTTATACTGTACTTTAAGGCCAAAAATTGTCTCGTTAGAAATTGGTGGCGGCTCGTGAAATTGACATACCGTCCCGTTTTGTTTTGGGTCCTCTGGTAGGTTATGATAAGGGCACTTTAATACGACAGCTTCTTGACGCTGGTAAACCTTAGGAAGACGGGCTGATATAGTAGCTATGTAGCCTATGCTGGTCCAGGCAGAGTATTTTGTAGGAATTATTCTCAATGCCGACGTATTGCATTTCCAAGAAACGAGTATAAAGTATTCCATGTCTAAACCTTTTTTGACTAGCTGTCCTCGCTAGGAATACAGCTATATAGTCTTATGTTTGTTTTCTGTGAGGCTTTCGTGCCATATCCAGTGTTTCTCATTGAATTGACTTCTGAAATCATCTCGAGGCAATCTCAAGTTAATCACATAAATTACTGAAATTTGGCTTTGGGCTACCCAAGAGTTTTTTTATATACTAGTACCTGTATACCCAACTGGCCTGTCGTCCTTGCTAGGGAATGCTACATGGTCAACTGTTTTCATACATTTTGATTATTTAAAAACTGCACCTGCCAACACAACTCAGCCATGCACCCTACCCAAAAACAACGAATTCGAACCTCAGTAAGAGTTAAATTATAACACAAGAAGACTACGAGGAAGGCAGCTCTATGCCCTACCAACTAGTAGTCACTGTTAAGTAAGCACTCACACAGTACCCCACCCATATGCCATCCCATCAACACCAATCCACGCACAATCATTGTTCCCCTATTATGATTGTGCCCCCCATGTTGTACAGTACAATTCCAATAGAAAGGGAAGAGTGTCAAGGTATATAAATTTTGAAGAATATTTTTATAAGTAAAGATGGGGGGAGGGGGGGGGGGGGAAATTCAATTATCACCAATCCTTGCCAATAAAAAAATCTTCATATTCATGTTTTTCATGGTATCAGTGTGGTGTCTTGACCGTACCCCTGGAGTCCATTTTAACTCTTCAGTAGGAAGAATGTCTTGGTTTTTGTGCATGAGGTTGTGCGCCCGTGCACAGCCCCTACCCCACCCGTGCACAGCCCTCACACATCCTCTTGCAGGATGAGTGGAGTACACAAACTACCCTGCACTGTATAAGTAAAGGTACAGTACGATAGTACAACAGTACTGTAGATGCTACTTTTTGCACCAATGACAAAACTGTAATCAGTAAAACTATTGAGGTTGATGTCCTTATAGTAAGCCCCACATACGAGCCATGAGTATGGATGCGGAACTCTAATAATAAACCTGTTGGGGGAGCCACGTGAACAGATGGTGTGAGTGGAGTGCTAAAACACTCGCCGAGGAGCAAAACCTTCCAACATCCACAAACTCTCCCCACCAGTGGATTTGTACCATTCCCTCAGCTTCACAAATAGGATGGTAGCTAGGTGCATCTTGGACATGACAAGGTATACAACCTGAAGGCTATACCCACATCACCTACTGTTATAGCCAGCTATATCAATAGGCTGTAAGGGTTTATATATGGATATAAGTACTGTATGTATCCAATTATGCCAAACATATATGGATATGTTTGCAGATATGATTTAATATTAAAGTTGACTTGAGAAAGAGTAAGGAAGCATTTTTTTACATTTAGGCCAGCCAGATTTTGACATAATTGATGTCATTACAAATAATACGAGCAGTTTTGGACTCAACAGGTAGTGAGAAATGGAGAAATTATGGGGTGAAAGAGATGGATGGAGGGGTAGGTAGAGGAAAAATGGGGGAGGGGGAAGGAAATGGGGAGATGGTGGGGAGGGGAAAAGAGGTGGTAGTGGAGGAAAAGTTGGGAGAGAGCGGGTAGGGATAGGAGATAAATAGAAATGGAGAGGGAAGCACAGTGTTTTGGTACAAGTTCATTGGTCTTGCACACAAAGCAGTTCTTTAAAATCAAGCATAGAGTTCAATGAACCCTATGATTAGAGGGAAGGAGAGGGTGGGTGTTGGGAGAGTTTGACACTTTGCCAAGTTTATGCTTACAGTATAATGCTAAACGAATTCTGATATTTTAGTACAGTATTTGCGTTTTATCTCTTTCTCAGGATGATCAGTAAAATTACCCCACAAACACTCCAAAGTGAAGAATTGGTTTCAGATATTAACATCATATGACCTCACTGGAATGTGAACTTTGCAGGCAAATGGCTTTAAGTAGGTATGACTGCATGTGATGTGGTTGCTCCTGTTTGATCCCGACTAATCTTGCCTGAAATCATAGGTCACTGTTATACCCTTTGAATTCCTAATTGTGCATTTTGGTGCTTCATAATTGTCCATGAAGTTGTCAATGTCCATTGTTGATTCCTGAAAATATCTTGAAGCTTGGTCTTGCAGCAAGATTGCTTCAATGACACAAGGAAGCAGATTAAAAACTTAAATATTTTTGTAATACAATACAGCATTAAGCTTTAAATAAATTAGTTGAATGATTAAATTCTTGGTCTTCCACAGATATGTTTGACCATCCCTATGCCTATGAACCTGTTAATGTGCCTATTTGATTTTTCACAATATTGCTAAATTAATGTTATAATGTTTTATAAATAAGAAAAATATGAAATATTGCATGATGCTTTATGGATGTGGAGAGTATACATACAGTGGAATGTTGTGGGTATTGACTTGGTTATATATATGTACATGCCATTTGCATACTCCTAAATGTATTGTTATTGTTCAGTTTATTGTATATATATGAAAGTCATTGTGATAGACAAATGAAGGCTCGAGGCTCAAACCTTCCTACATGAGGGACAGCCTTGAACATGTGGTCACATATTTATGGTACTTACAGGTACTTTCAGTACTGTGGGCAAATATTATGATTAGGTTCAAAGTGTATAAGAATACATAGTACAGTACTGTATGTGGATAATGCAGGAGAAATGTTAATGAAAATGGTTGAACCAGTAGTGGGGAGTTTGTGTGACAAATTGCATTGGATACCTTTTATGTACTATTTCTAATTGACTGTTAATCTGCTTTTGATATTTGACTTGAGTGGTTGAACTGTGTGCTGGCATTCCATGATATACACTAGTGTTAAACCTCAGACAACACTAGATGACTTTTTTAACCACCGTGCTGCGCAGAGCACCTTGAGGCACTCTTGAGTTATTTTTTGTTTAATTAGGCTATATTGTATTTTTATTGTTTTTTAATACAGTATTTTCATCACTTTGGGTTTTGAAATGAAAATGGTTGAGTTTGGAAACATTTTAACATTAACTTTACCTGAACATTTATAAAAACAACAAAAATATGCCCTTAACAATTGCACTGACATTTTTGCCAAAACAAGGTGTGCAGTACAGGGGTTAATACCATTCTCCTTGTTATAATAGCTTTTTTGAACCTAACTGATGTGAACTTCTGCACTCGTTGAAATTAGGAAATGGTATTAATTTTTTTTTTGTTTACAGAAAAGTGTGAGGCTAACACCATCAGCCATTCTTTACCATGGAAGGACAGATGATGAGGCTACAACTATTGTAAGTACTGTATATTGTTGGTCAAATTTGTCTTTGTGCATGTGAAGCCATTCATTCATCTTTGTTGTGAACATGCCATCACCAGAGTACTTCAGGATACCTCCTAAGTAACTGTCAATACATCATAACTGTTAGCTTAGATTTAGGCTGAAGATTTAAACACAAACAAATGGGAATATAATTTAGTTTCATTATGTAGTTTAGAGAACAGCTACTTCATATGAAATCTCTCTACTGTACTGTATCTGTTGTGCCTTAACAGTTGTAAATTTACAGCGATATAAATACATAAACTAACCAAAGTATTTAGTACAGAAACTCGTATAAACCTCTTGAGGAAGACTTAAGTTTTACTATTATGAAGGTCTGAGAGATTTGTGATCATCTTATCACCTGTGAATGTTTTTGTAACTGTCATATAGAAACTAAAAATTCACTAGTTTTTTTTCTTGCTCATTATTATTTTATTAGATATAGCTATCAATTAATATCTTGTCAAATATAGTTTTAATATTAATACAGTAACTGTATCTTGAGGCTTATGGCCTCTTATTAATCTTCACTCACTTCCTATGCATAAATAGTAATAAAGTTGGTAATGCCACAACCTTTTTTGTCACTTTTTATCCTCATTTGTTGCACTATCTTCAACCTGCAGTTTTTCATTTCGTTTCTTTAAGTTTCTATCCTTAGTTTTTTGTTGCTTGAAGCAGTTATAGGAACCAGGAACTGAATTTTTATTATATTTTCCATATTGCAGGTGGTCAGTGTGGACAAGGCTACGTCTGTCACTTCTCATCCTTATACAGTACATGGTTTTACCGAGCTTTTTTTTGCCAGAAGATGGAGTAGCTTAACAATTAATTTTAATTTTTGTGCTTGTCTTAAGCTAATGTTGGGTTGATGCTGACAGTTGTTCACTTGTTCAACAGGCGATGATGCATGCTTCTTGTGCCTATCTTCATAAATGCAATGTTATAGTGGGCATATGGTACATTCTCTTCATTTTGGATAATCTTTTATGCAGATAAAAATTTTGTTGGTGTCTTTTCTTCATCGTTATTGTAAGTAGCTTTTTAAACCAAACGTGTACTGTTCTTGACAGTGTCTGGCGATCCTCTGTCCATCTTGAGTCTGGCTGTAGAAGCAAAACCCATAGTAATAGTAGTACTATATAAACTGAACTGTTGTAAAAATATTACATTTTGTATTTACAGTTGAATCCTTGTTTTATGCAGAGATTTATTTCTTGACATTCCACACTAACTGTTGATTGTGGTGATTTTTGTAACTCTTTAGCTGTGACACTGGTTTCAGCAGTTTCCATCTTGGATTGAATTGGGGGCTAAAAATTGTTTGAAATTTGTTTATTACATTTCAATCAAGAGAAACTGTTGGTTCTTTTGGGGGGCTTTTGATATGGTTTGATTGTATTTCCCTGTCTGTGGGGGATCCTAGTTTTGTGTACATTCCTGAGTAGGCTCCTTTGGCTAGTTGTGCCCCTCCCTGGTTGTGGCCACCATGACTAGTTTACCAGCCTTATACTGTAGGAGCATACTGGACTCTTCTGCATGTCCCCCCCCCCCCCTACTTTTTTGCAGCAGAGTAGCTCTGCCGCCCTGGTGTTAGGGTTGTTTTGAACAGGGTCCAATATGAGGATGAGAAAAAGTACTGGTGTAAGCACAGTACTCTATCTTGTGGAGGTTCAGGGAATCAAACACCCTGCAGCCTAGTCTCAAATCAGGCCTCAGGGACTAACATTTTCACAATGGATGATCCAAGTTTTATTTTGTTGACTATTGCACATTTGACTCCATTCATTAAGAAATTTAAAGAAATCTTCCTACTTTGCAAGTACAGTAGTTCCCTTTGATCAGATTGTGCGCAAAAATACTGTGGTCACACACACACATTGGAAACGTTTGCAAAATCTGTGTATATTACATCAGAGTTTTGGTTGTCTTCCAAACTTTGGTTGCCAGATGTCATTACTTTCACACCCCACACTATGTAATTATTTGCATGCTGGTAAAGAAATATTTATACTTCTACACATAAATAATGCTAAGTAAACATAAAAAAGGCTATATCCAGTACGGAATAAAGTACTGTATAGTAAAATACGGGTAAATTAAAAGATGTGCCATTTTAGGGTACTTTTGCTAGGGTATCTATAAGATAAAATGATCTTTTGATTTACCTTTTGCTGGACCTCAAGCAGTTTGCTTTAGAGAGACTTGCTATAATTGTTTGATGTGAAGTCTGCTTCTCATTCAAAATGCAGTCTGTACAACCTAACTGGGCATTATACTGTTTCCTGCATTAGTTATTTAATTCAGAGGACAGGGATACAATAGAGATAAAGCAGCAGAGGAAGAAATAATAAAAAGACAAAAAGATTGCTAGCTGCTCTAGAATGTTTTATTTAATGGTAAGGAGAAAAACGATAGCTTGTGAACAAATTGTAAATTTGTAAACAGAGGACTGTTTAAACTACACAGAAATCACAATAGCGTGATGCATTAAATTAACAAATCCACAAGGGCCGTGACGTTCAAACCTACGTCCGAGAGCATCCCAGACGCTGCCTTAATCGTCTGGGAAGTTCAGAATTGAACTTCTGGTTGCACTTCTTTTACCATGTCGTCGCTCGGTCGATTAAGGCAGCGTCTGGGATGCTCTTGGACATAGGTTAGAAACCTCGTCACGGCTCTTGTGGATTTGTTCAGAGGAATGCTTACAAGGGCGAGTGATCCGAAATATATTTACAATGGAAGATTACAAAGGTTGCCTAGATAACAAAAACAGTTTAGATGTTGCAAAATATTCCTACAGATGGCAGAGCCAGTAAAGTAAAATGTGTACATCCCTAATAAATATTATTTTCATGGCACTTATTCCATATATATATGCAGTACAGAGCTTATCATTGACCCATTTCTCACTTTCATGGGATGGGGAGGCATTCAGCCCAAAGAAGGAAAAGGTGAGTACTATTATATTGTAAAATATGAAGTTAATAACACTAAAAATATAACTTCCATTCATTATATCATTCACATTGTATAGATCATCATGGATAAACAATTACACCACAACACTCCCGTTGTCATCCACAGGGCAGCACCCCATCATTTGTCAAGCCAAAAGGCCCCAAGTTTGATTCCCATGGTAGGACAAGCATTAATAGTAGACTCTCTTCACAAGTCTACCATTATCCATTCTTTAATACTGCCCAGATTATCCTGGCATGCTCTCCTCAGATGTCCTGCTTATTTACTTGACCTCCACATCTCGTGGAATTTTGACTCATTATCTATTCTGACACCACACATACTTCCGCAATTCTAAATTTACATGGCTCTGTATTTTCATGTTCATTCCACACCATTGTCATGCAATCATACACAAAAGTCGGTACACCACTCATTCACAGACATCCTAGTACATCTATTCCTGTCCTGTTTTTCACAACTAGGCTTTTCATTGCACTAACCACTTTCCTTCCCTGCCTGACTACTCTCAAATTGGATTGCACAAATGCCTTTAACAATCATACATGCTTGGTATTTAAACTGATTGACCCTTTCAGCATACCCTTTTATGTATACACTGCTACCTATGTATAATCTTTTCACAGCATATAACAGCACATTGCAAACTCTATACAAGCTCTGTTTGCCAAAGGTCTTTCTATTTGTCATGTGCTCCTTTCAAGTCCATCAATACTATGTACAACTCAAAATCGTTCATGTGTCCCTTCTCTATAAATTGTTTTCATGCAAATACTGTACTGTATATAATCTACAAACTGTTTCTCACCACAGAACCAACCTTGTCATCATTTATTGATAATTTTCCTCTACAAATGCTACCTTGCTATACACTCCTTCATTTTAATAGATACAATCACCTCTCTCTTCCAGTTCTCTAGCACATTACCACTATTCCATGCATTCTGACAAATTCTCCACACCTGCTATATATTTGTTTTTTCCAAAACACTTGGTACTGTCTGTATATACCTAATCAAAACCCACAACTTTCCCATATTCCAACTTCGTCATTGATATACATCCTTCGATGTTTCAGTTGTTATACGATCTTGTACTCTTCTCACCACCACCAAAGTCAGTCATGTTCACAACAGCACCTGTTTCATCACTTCACCCAATAGCCTTTCAAATTATCTCCACCCACATCTAATTTCCTCTTCACCCTATAAAATTCTCCCATGTTTCTTACCATTCCCATTGGTCTCCTTGCTGTGCTTCCTTACCCTTTTCTAAAAAAGCTTCCTGTTTACTAAATGTTAAATTCTTCCAATTCTTAATTCACTTTTGTTTTTGCTAATTCCTAATTCTTTCATTTATCTTTTAATTTATTCTCTTTGCAGAAAAGTGCACAGTATTTGCAAAAAGAGTTACCTGTTAGAATTGCCAAAAGAGTACTGGCATTTCGTAGCCTTCCCTTCATCGTTGGCTGTAATCCAATCATACTAGGAGTGGTATGTTACTTTAAAATTTTATTTGTTGCAACCTATTACTGAGATTTACTTTATTTTTCTTGTTAACGCATTTTGAGATGGTAGATGCACACAATTACTTTTAGGAAAGACGAGGCTTGCAGGAGATTGGGGCATATTTACATACTTCTGAAATGTAGCATCAGGGAAGCTAATATGTTAAGTTAGAATAAAACTCATATATGCAATAGTTTCTTCTGTTAATCTTAACACTATCTATACTGTGTTGTTATAATATATATACAGTATTATTGTAAGAATGTTTGTTTCTTTTGGATACTGTCTTAACATAAATAAATAAATAAATGTTTATTCAGGTAAGGTACATAACATGGAGAGATATGGTCATATATAAATTAAATAGCTGCTTTGGTTGATAAAGTATACTGTGTGTGTGTGTGTGTGTATACACATACATATATAAATAAAAATCTAGGAAGTGAGTGAAACATTGACACAACAGGAGAATTAATACAGCATATTGAACTATTTCATGTTTCAGCACGAGTTGTACATCAGAGCCTTCAACATTTTGAACAACTACGCACCAATAACATCCCGCGATGATGAAATAAACTACAGCAGGAAGCTTGGTGAGCTCCTTGATGACCACAAGGTAAAAAGTGACATGGCCATTTTATTGTATAAATACTTGAAAATTACAAGTGCCCTGGTTGAGACTGCGACACTCTGCTCACATGATACTAAGCAGTCCTGTACCACTGTGCCACTACACCACAGCAGAGGTTCTAGTCTAAGACAGGGTGCTTGGAATTTAAGTATTGTACTGTAGTTAAACAATACTGCCTGGGAACCAATCGGGTTTATCATTTGATTTTGTATAAATAATCATTTGATTATTGTTTATCATATTTATGTATATTTAATTTATTTAACATAGGATGTTGTGACACAGCTAGCTGCAGGGTTCAGAGAGTGCCGCCGACACTTTCAGGATGAACAGTTGGTGGCTCGATTCTTAGATAAAACTCTTACGTCTCGTCTTGGCATCCGTATGCTTGCCCAGCACCACCTTGCGCTTAGGGAAAATAAGGTATATGCCGTACAATGCTAAATTTATAATTGTAAAATACTGCACATTGAAGTAATGTATATACATACAGAAGATCTGAATTGTTGTGGAATGTAATTTTTGGTTCATTGTTACCAACAGAAATGTTTGTTTTTATCAATGGTAACTATATTTTCCCTTAAATCATCATCTTTGGGTGCTGCATTAATTGGCATAATTAATTATTTTAAGGCCCTGAAATTTTCTTTCTTTCCAGCCAAATTATGTTGGAATAATCAATGTGGCAATGAAACTCAAAGAGGTAATAGAACGAAGTTGCCAGTTTGTGACTCGTGTTGCCTCGCACAAGTATGGCAGAGTCCCTCAATTGAAGTTATCTGGCCATGTTAATGCTGTCTTTCCATACATTGAATGTAAGTTTTCATTCTTCAAAACTATTGCACATAATCATGGCAGATAGCCTTGCACTGCTTTCCCAAGTTTGGCTCATATAATGGGACTCTTCTTTAGTCACCCTGTTCCATTAAAACAAGGTTTGTTTTGCACTACATTTCCTTCCCATCTCGAAGAGTTTCACTATACCAGTACTGTAGTGTGATTTCATTAATGTGAATCATTCCAGCTGGGTTGCAATGTAAAGTATAATGAAGCATAATAATACAGTATTGTTTGCAATACCTGTTTTTCACTTTTGATCTTGAAAAATAATTGCTTGTGTAACATTGCAGCATATGTAATACATATGGCTTGGTTTAAAAGTTATTTATGAACTGTATAAATTTCTTCTTTAGAATTATTTCATTTAAATGACTGTTGCTCTATTAAATACTTTAATCTTATTTTTTAAGATTTTATTGTCTATATAACCTTCTTATTCAGTACCACTGGATTATATCTTGCCGGAGATCCTGAAGAACGCAGTACGAGCAACGATAGAGAATCACTCGGAATTTGAGATGATTCATCTCCCGCCCATACACATCACAATTGCTTCTAATGAAATAGACTTCATAATCAGGCAAGGAGGATTAGTTATATTAGATTTAACTGCTATTTGTGTAGTATACCTTTTTAACATTTTATTATTATATAGCCTATGATTGCATTCCTGGTACAACTATAATTTTAAAAATATTTCAAAATTTATTAAATTTGTTTAAAGTAAAATTTTTGGTGTAAGAACTAAATAGAAATTTAAGGAAAGATTTGTGAGAGCATAGCCCATACTTAATAGTTTATTATATTAGAGGAATTATTCATTCACCATAAATTTACTCTCAAGTGTTTCACTTTACTTTTCCTGATAACTTTTTTTTAATTTTGCACCAGTTATTGACCAAGACAATAGAACACACCAACTAAGTACATAATGTGGCACAGTACCTATATTATTACAGTAGTCATATTTACAATACTGTAACACTATCATTGTGGAAGCAATAATTCTTATTTCATATTAATCCCTATTGCAATGGTTTGAGTCTCTAGGAACATATTACAGTACTGTATTAGTTTTATATTTAACTTTTATATTATTATTTATTGATACTATGTAAAAGTTTCACTGATTAGACTGAACCCTCTGATACAACACAACCTGTGTTGTATCATATAGCTGTGTTCTTTGCTAACAAGTAATACAGAAAATATTATAATCATGGTCACTTTATTATTCTGAGTCTGTGGTGGCCACAACTGTGAACTGATTTACCAGGGACCACTTATGAGGAATCTACTGTATACCAACCTAATATTTCTGGGAATACAAGCAAATGGGTAGCATCAGTTTTTGGAATTCACAATTCGGTAGCAAAGGCATCTCCAGAGAGAACATTAGTAGCAATACTTGTGAATGGTTAAGAAAAGATACTGTTGACATAGCATTGGTAGTTAACATTTGGGTAAGAATGTTTCTACTCTAACAGTTAGGTCAGGTGGTCAATAGCAGTGAAATTAATAAAAAGAAAATCCCATACATAAAATTGCCAAAATAAAGTTTAAGAAAAACTCCATAGTGCAGTACTTGGTCCCTGATTTCATTTCTGTAAGGTATTGGAATTCTTTTCGCTCTAACACATCGGTGCTGCTATAAACACTCCTGACACAGTTATGCACATTCAGTTTCTAATATTGTACTCTCCTTTGCTATTTACCAATGACCTTTGTATATAAGTGTTATTTCATTGCTTTCCTACTTTTTTTTTTTACTGCAAAATATTGCATTAAAAACTCTACACTAATAATATACAGTACAGTATATGTATTGCTGAAATGCAAAGAGGAGGTTGACATGATTTATATATAATGTGTATAGGTTTGTTTTTAACAGTTTTGTATGCATTTTATGTCTGATGTTTATTTTCTATGTTGTGATGATACAGGATCAGTGATCGTGGTGGTGGTATCCCTCATCACCTCAAAGTTAGAGCTTTGGATTATAACTTCACAACAGCTAACAGCAGCAGTTATTCTGAATCAGAGCAACAAGAAGGTCTATTCTCCAACATGATTGAGGCAGTAAATCCTAACCCTGCAGGAGGACCTATGCATGGGTCAGTAACCATAAACTGCTTTAATTTTTCAATACCTGTTCATGTTTTTCTGTAAAAATATGTATGTTCTAGTTTGTATGTTATCTTCTAAATTTTATAATGTGCCCTCTCACTTACCTTCATCATCCAGTGCCACTCACTTATTGTACACTTAATCACCGCCACTTGAACATAATCTTAAGAACCCTTATAAATACTTGCCTACTTTACAGATTTGGCTTTGGTCTGCCAACCTCAAGAGCATATGCCGAGTACATGGGTGGTAGTTTAGAAATTCAGGCCATGCAGGGCATTGGAACAGATGTTTACCTTCGCCTGAAACATATCAACAGTCCAGGAGCATCATTTAGAATTTAAAAAAGCAGTGAGTTTTTACGAAGAAAGGAGTAAATTTTAATGTACTGTACATGATTTGCCATTTAACCCTACATTAGTACCTTAGGGTGTCAGTTCATCCCAGCAAAAATTTGTGTTTAAGGAATTTTATAGTTCACATGATTTTAATTTTATATTTCATTATCTTGTGATTGCATTGTCATCGTGATGCTGCTGAATAGAATATATTTACAGAATTGTTACTTGGTGGATGATGATCAAGGTATTTAACTGCTTGCATTGTTCAAGAGTTACATAGGGCATTATCTGTGCAGTATTTAAATCTGTACAGAGACTGCACTAATAACCTGTTGTGTACGGATAAGTGGTTAATCATTCTAAAAATCGAGTAAAAAAAAAAATTAACAAAACCTTTGTTTATACTCACCAACATGCATAGTCCAGATACACTTATAAAGCCAAAGATTATTGTTGATGATGCATACTTTAGATGGTACATGTGCTTCTGGGTCCTTATACCCGTGTTTGTCACGCTGGGTTTAGTACCCAGCTGTTAAGTTAGGTTGGGTTGGTTTTGTTGCCTCCTGCACTAAATTCTTGCCTGATCAGGTTGGGTTGGGTTTTCTAAATGTCTTCTCTCAGGCTTGTCCTGACAAGGTAGCTTGGAGGCGAGGAAAGTCCCTCAGTGACCATCATGGGTGGGACGGCTGAGAAACTGTTTCAAGAAGGATGTTCTCTGTAGTTTTCCTTGAGCCACACCCTAACCACTGCTAGCTTTGTCTAGCACATTGGCTGGGCCCAGGAAGAAAAAGGGTTGGTAGGATCCATCTTTTCTTGTCATTATTGGGACCCGGAGGAAGCAGCAGCTGGATCCTTGTTTTCTCCTGCAGCTTATCCCTCACTGTGTTCATAATTTCCACTGGATAGCCTCTATCTACAAACATCTTCTAGAGGTCTTTGAGCTGGGGTAGTACGGTTTCCTCTCTGCTATTAATCCGCTTTAGGCGTAAACCCAGCGAGAAATGTAAAGTAAGGACCTCTTCATGGCCAGCGAGTGGCTGTAATTGAATTAGTTATGTATGTAAATTCGTTGATTTGTAGAAGGCTGCAGTTTGGAAGAGTCGGTCTCTCCAATTTACACTGTTGTCCAAAAAATTTGTTTGAGCTGTTTCTCTCAAGGGTAACCTTTAGGTTGTTGCAGACTGTGTGTGATATCAAGCAAAAAAAGCACTGTTCTTCCCTGCCTTCAATGATGCCATCTATGTATCTGAAGTACACTGTGGCTGCTGACAAGGTGACATCTTTGGCATCATGGAAGGTGGGAAAGATTGTTTATGGTGTATTTTTGCTTGGTCAAACACATTCCACAACAACGTAAATTTCACCCTGGAGAGAAGCAGCTTAAACATCAATTTCTTGGACACAACAGTGTACATTGGAGAGACTGAGACTCCTCCAAACTACAGCCTTCTACAAACGCATTTACATATCTGAAATTAGATTCCAGCAACCCTCTGGCCCTGAAGAGGTCAGTAAACCCTTACTCGCTGGGTTTACACCTAAAGTGGATTAATAGCAGAGAGGAAACCCTACTACCCCAGCTCGAGGACCTCTGGCAGATGTTTGTAGATAGAGGCTATCCAGTGGAAATTATGAACACAGTGAGGGATAAGCTGCAGGAGAAAACAGAAAACCCAGCTGCTCCTTCCTCAGGATCCCAATGATGATGAGAAAAGGTGGATCCTATCAACCCTTTTCTTCCTGGGTCAAGACAAAGCTAGCAGAGGTTTGGTTGTGGTTCAAGGAAAACCATGGAGAACACCTTTCCTGGAACAGTTTCCCAGCCATCCCACCTATGACAGCCTGGAGGGAAGGAAAGTCCCTAAATGACCACCTTGTCAGAGCAGCACTGAGAGAAGACATTTAGAAAAGCCAAGCCAACCTAACCAGGCAAGGATTTAGCACGGGGAGGCAACAACACTGCCCCAACCTACCTTGAGATAATTTTGGGGATTAGCGTTCTCGCGGCCTGGTCATCAACCAGGCCTCCTTGTTTCTGGACTGGTCAACCAGGCTGTTGGACGCGGCTGCTCGTAGCTTGACACATGAGCCACAGCCTGGTTGATCAGGTATCCTTTGGAGATGCTTGTAAAGTTCTTTTGAACACTGAGGGGTCGGCCAGTTATGCCCCCTCGATGTGTAGTGGAAGCATGTTGAACAGTCTCGGGCCTCTGATGTTGATAAGTTCTCTCTTGGAGTACCTATTGCACCTCTGCTGTTCAACCTAACCTCTAATAGTTTGTCACCCAGCGTGACAAACACGGGTACTGTATATGGAGTGGTCAAGGACCCACAGTCACGCAGGTGTATCCTCAGCAAGAATATCTTGTGGTTATGTAATTCATTTCCTTCTATACCGAGAGCTTTACTGGATTAGTTTTGAAACAGAGCATCATAAAACAAAATTTTTTGTTTGGGTGTTGTAGCTCGATGACAGCTGTACAGTATATAATAATTTGTTTATCACGGGGCAGGGATTTTTTGCAAGAACATTCATATTTGTATTAAGTTAAGAGATTTGCTTGGCATAGCTGGTCAAGGAAGGTATTCCCAGTCCCTATATTGAAAATGTCTAGTTTTGTCTTGTTAATTTCTTGCTTAAGTATTGCAGTATTTCTTGTGTACAGTATTACATTTTGTATGAACTTTACAGAAGTGTCTTCGTGTGTGGGTCTGCTACTGATATCTCCTGTAAATATATCTTACCAAGAAAAACAAATAAGGCAAGTAGATATTTTACCTTTTGAACTACTGTGGTCATGGCTGGTAAGCCTTCTCACCCCCTCTCCCTTACAGTAATAATTTAAAGAGTATGTGAAGAGAGAAGCAAATTTTTTGTGAAATAAATGTGAATGATGAATAGGTGGGATATAATAAATAATGGGGTTGTGATTAATAGATATTTAAAGAGGATTTTATACAAAGTTGAAAGTTGGGTGAGATTAGGGGAGGACAGTTGCTGGTGCAATGAAATCTTTAGTTAGAAATACTAGATGGGAATAGAGGCAGAGGGCTGCATAGTGATGGTACAAGCCTGTGTATGGATGGCAGAGATGTGAATGTCTCAAGAATTGGAGTGTTACAAATGAACAATCTAAGAGATGTAGTATTGTGATAATAGTAAATAATGTAATGTTATGGACAAATATGGAGTGCATGAGTTGATAAACTGCAAGGTTAAAGAGTGCTTTTTCATAGATGGTTGGGGGCAGTGTTGAATGAAATAATAAATTGAAGTCTTTGTCAAGTAAATTTGAAGATAGGAAAGCTGGGTGTAGTGAGCCTATGAGAAATAAAATAAACACAAAGGATATGGTAGGGGGCAAAGCTGGGTGGAAGTAGTTTGCAAAGAGAATCAGTGTACTGGATGTGACTTCTTGAGTAGCACTGTACACCATTGCACAGTGTGTTGCAAAGTGTGTTGGTTCTTATTTATCTGTGATGTAATAAGTGTGACAATGTACATTTTCTTTAATATAATGAGGGGGGTTATACATACCATAAATAACTTCCAGATATTAAGAGGATTTTTTTTAATAGTTTCAATGTGCACCGTTACTACTGCTGCTAGAAGTAGAAAGTGTTCTTAATAAGTATGTGTTTGTATTTCAAAGAAAATTTGTCAGTCTGATGGCAATGTTGCACAATACAATATGGAACCATGACATACAGAAAATTTTATAAATTAGCAGTATTGGTTAGATTGTAAATTAATGAGCATTGCTAAATAAACTATTCTGGTGAATATTGAATGTACAGAATTAAAATGATGTATAAGTTTTCTAATGTAGGAGGGAGTGGCAAATTTCCATAAGGTGTGGATATTTCATTTTTTGCACTTAACTACAGAAAATGTTAACACATCTGGCATGTAAATGAAACTGAATTGTGTGTATTTAGCATGTAAAGTGTAAATAATAAACTACTGTATATGGTATTCAAAGCTGTTTCAAAACAAGTAATTATTAAATAGAATGTGCTAAGCCAGGATGGCCACGTAATGCACTGAGTAATAGTTTCTTGATAGTCCTTAAGATGCCAACACCTGCAGAAAGACTAATGGAATGTCAGGGGAAGTAAAGTCAGAGAATTTTATACAAATAATTACTCCAACCTTAGTCCAAATACTGTACCATGTACAGTAGTCAACTGCAGAACATAATAAATTTCAATGTTATCTGAATTTTGGACATTTTACCAATAGGAGTGTGATCCTGGCTTGGTACCTTACTACTGCATGTATAAAAGAGTAACACGTTCTGAATTATGGCAAAGTGCTGGAACCTAATAATTGAGAGATTGAAATGATCTTTTATCTATATTATCACAATTCTTAAGTATACAGTAGTATATTACCCAGAAAATGGTCTTCCTATATATACTATAAGATAACTTCACCTTCACACACACCTGCAAGTATGTACCTCACATACATACCCATGAAGTGTTAAATGATCCCACTGAAGTGCCACAGGAATAAAAAATTTTCATACCCATTACTTACTTATTCCCATTATCACTTAAAGATAATGTATAAAAGGTATTTATTATAACTTTCACTTTGGAAACAAAGCATGATATTGCTTAGAAAATGTTGTGGTTGGCAAGTTATCACATGCATAACAGTATTGTATCCTACCATTGTATAAAATAGTACAAGTACCAGTGAACAGTAATTACATTCTACTTGTGGAATTAATTGTAACATTGTACTAATACTTAATGTTTTTTCTGTAATACATAGGACTTGATTATGCAGCACTATTACCACATGTATGTATTCAGTATTTATTGGTGGGCAAGAATATATTTTTTAAATTTCTTATTTGGGTATTTGTATATACATATAATATTTGTTACACCTTAAATGCATAAATCATTGTCATATTGTTTAGATCTTTTAGCCTGTGATATAGATAGTACCTTATATAATTAATGTCGTTAAAATACTGTACTGTGTTTTTGTTCAAGTTCATAATAAATGGATTTCTATATTCGGCATTTTAATCATACTTTGCATCCCCAACAGAAAATATTGGTATCCTATTGAGAAAATGTACTGTAAACTCTTAATAATTTTGAGTTCAATTAGATGCTAAAAGATAGGGGGAATAATGGTGAAAACAAAACACCAAGCCAGGAGGATTATGCAGCACCCTCAGTGTTACTGGGTATTCAAATGTACTAAATCCCCGTGTAATCCCCTAAATTGTAGACCCCGTGGCGTAGTGGTAAGACGCTCACCTGGCATTTTGCGAGCGCTTTGGCCTGGGTTCGTATCCTGTCTGGGAAGGATTTACTGGGCGCCAATCCTTAACTGTAAGCCTGTTTACCCAACAGTAAAATGGGTACCTTGTTAAAGAATTTGGTGGGGTCGTATTCCGGGGAACATAGGATTAAGGACTTGTCTGAAATGTTGTGTGTGCTAGTGGCTGTACAAGAATGCAAGAACTCTTGTATATATGAATAAGTAAATAAAACAAAAATAATTATCACTTATGATGCCAATGAGACCGAAGCACAAGGCAAAAGATATCAAAGGTATTAGAAAAGGAAGATTGCCATGAAGGCCAAATGAATGTAGTTGGGATAAAATATTGTATCTCCAGGGGGTCTCGAGCCTTTTCCAGGTCAGAATGAATGGCAACAACAGGTGTCTATGCAGCAAAGGCAGAATCTAGACCTCTACATCTACAAAGATAACAGTTGTGCTGTAACATACAAGCCAAATTGGGAGGGGGGGGCGAAGAGTGATAATGTGGTTCTAAGAACCACGTTGACCATATGTTCAAAAATATTTGCAGATGCAGCTCCTCAAGTCTAAGAGGCAAAAAAACCTTAGTGGAAGTCCCTAAAGTACTGGCTTTCTGAATAGAAAGAACAGCAGCATTAAGCCTGTCCTCGGGGACTGATGCCACCTCCCAAACACTGCCATCGATACTATATTGTATTCTGCAAATACAGAAAGGAACACTGAGGGAGATAAAGTATCCTTGTGAATGCATCAGATTCTGCAGAGGAAGAGGGTAGACTGGAGTTCCGATAGAGTTCGTCAAAGTGGAGATGCAGGCGCATGCAAGATTCAGTAAGGGGATTACAAGTAAGGAAAGGAGGAGGAGGAAGACGAGTACCAGAGCTAATGGTACTCATTTTCTGAACAACTGTACTACTGAAAAAACAGGGGAACAAGGGGAATATTCCAGATCAAGAGAGTAGAGTTAGCAGTCCCAGCAAAAGTTGGAGGGGAAGAAGAGAAGGGAATATCTGTGGAAGTGACCAAAACAATCAACAGCTCTTGGAGACGAGCACAAAACAAGAGAAATTTGTGATATGAAAATTCATGAAAATTAGCACAGAAATTAGGTATATTCCATTGAAGAATAAACACAGTAAAGAGCAAATATAACGGTAAAAGAAAATGAGAAAAGAAAGGCAAAGGATATAGGATGCTAGAGAGGATCAGGTTGTGAAATCATGGGTTGAAGGGGCACAAGTAAATCCAGCAAAAATAGTGAATTGAGAGGGAGGGGGGGTTGGCAATAAGGAGCATAGGCCAACCAACAGGGTCTAGTGAGAGAGGAGGCATCAGGGCGGGGTAAGGACAGAAATAGCAATGTGCACTGGATCAATGATAGCACCAGAGGTAGAATCAAGAGCTACGGGAATTTCCATAGTGAGGTCAGCTGACTCCATCACTGAGATGGGAAGAGGTGCAGTCAGAGGTGGAAAGTTGGGGACATCTGGGAGCAGTTAGACCCACAATGCTGCCTAATGCATGACTAATACCATGCAAGCTCCTGGCTAGTTTTAAGAGAAGTTAGTGAGTACATGAGTTAGTTAATAGATAGCCAGAAAGTTACATATTTGTATGTACAATGCAAGAGATTGGTGGTGGTGGTGGTCAAATGATTATCCGAGAATATCGGTTACAGCGGAGCTAACTGCCATTGTTATAGCATTAAGATTCCTTGAACAAAGCACTAACAGTGCAGTGATCTGCATTGATTCTAAAGCAGCGCTACAAAGCCTTACTAAAAATCAGGCAGAAACCTTGCACTAGCCGCCGAGATCAAGAGCAGTGAGAGTACTAAACAATCAAGGAAGTCGTCAAATTTCTGTGGATCCCCTCCCATGTTGGAATCTGTGGGAATGAACGAGCAGATGCGCTGGCTGCTGAAGACCACATTGAGTACTGTACTTCATACCCAAGACTCTGCTACAAATTAGAGGTATCATCAGGCAATATCACCATGACAAGGTTGCTTTAGAAGGAAAGGAGGATAGAACAACAACTCGGTGAATCTGTACGCTGGTACAACATGATTGCAGCTGGCAATCCCAATCATTATGGACAAAGAGGTGATCACTGGAGAGAATCAGTAATAGCAACAATCTGTCATGGATACAAATATCCATGGAGATTCAGAATGGAAACAGTTGAGTAGAGGAGTTGCAGAATCTGCAGCGAGTGTGATGGACACCACCTTGACCACTATCTGAGTGTGTGGGGACATCTAAGAGTCATTAGAAATATGTGGAATAATAAACCCCACATTGTTTGAGCTAGGAAAACACTGTCAAATATAGATACTGTTCTTAAAAAGATTTCCCTATTTTGCACCGGCAAGATAACTTAAGATTTGGAGGGTTGACGAATGTTAATCCTTTTGTTTGATAAGCTGTTTATTTGAAACAGTTAAGCAAGTCCCAGCTGTGTCTGGGTACAAGTGACAGGATGAACAACCCAGTGGGTTTTCTTCCTATTGGGGAGTGTTGTACATGTTGATATGGCAGTACAATATGTCCACTTACAGGATGAGTGGCGCTGCCCAATAAACTCGTCCCTTGGGGGCAAAATTAAAAAAAAAAAAAAAAATTAGTATGATAATTTGGGCTCCTCTGGGGCAGCATGATTTAATTCGCTGCTGGACTATGTCATGAAGGATGTATTTTGATGACTTGTGACTTTAACTGTGACAAGTGCTCGTTTCTCTTCATACTAGCCACCTTTCTCATTTAATGTATTATTAATGTGCAACTTTAGTACTTTTCCATGTTTATGGGGGGAATGCTGAAAAGGATTTCTATGTGCTAGGGTATAAGGAACATTCCAAGTGTACCCCTTTCAGAGGTATAAACCTGCCTAGAATATCTTGTTTGCAAGCCTTTATTACTGTCCAAAGGGGATACTGAGCATAAATGCCAACAGGCAGTACAAAGGGGTTTTGTCACAGATTTCTGTGATTAAATAAACAACTATGCATTTCTTTGTCCTGTGTGGGGGTTATCTTGTAATGATTTCAGGGCTCAACATCCCAAGGGCCCAGTCCTTGACTAGGCCTCCTCACATCATATTCTTAAAACACACTAATTTTGGTAGTTTATGACCTGGGGGGCCGAGCCTTGACCCATCCCACCTGGTGGGCTTGCTAGATTGTAAGTTATTGAGGCAGCCCAAGAGCAAAGTACAGTGCTTTATTAAATCACAACAAATATTACAGCCCTGTGACACAGGGTAGAAGTCATAAGGAATTATCTTCTTTGAGATTGGACAGACAACTGTTCAAGGCACTGGGATGAGGTGCTTATTGTACTAGCTTTCACAATAGAAAGAACAACTGCATTGAGCCAGGTCTTTAATGGATCCAGTGTTCCCGATCTGTTATAAATACCCTGTAGTAATAAATACTAAAAAAAACAAAAAAGGCACCAAACCAGGACGACTAGTACCCTATGTTGCAGGATATTCAAAATGGCCTAAACATCACTGAGGATGCCAATACACAAGCAGACATAAGCAGCAACATCAAAAGCATCAGTTTCACCAAGGACTTCAAAGGACAAGCGATTCGGACGGACATTAGGAAAGCAAGACTTTCCTGAAAATCAATACATTCACTACAAGGTGCACCACACTAAGCGGAACAATGCAGTTTGGACAATAAGGAGCATGGTGTCGTTTCATTAGATGCACTTGAGTTAAGTGTGTGGGGCTGATACTTATCCTAGTCATAGCTGTTCGAACAACCTGTTACAGTGGTAGGAGGAAGGACTTGAGACTAGATCACATTTAAGAGAATGTAGAAGATAGTTAAGTAATAAAGAGGGCCCCAATGTCAGAAAATTTTATCAAAAGCTGACAGAATGGTCTTACATTTCCTAGACAAAAGTGAGTACCATATACTCACTGTGATTACAAAGGTAAAGGTAATACAACTGAATGCAAATTTGTACAGGCATTTGCATCATGTTACCACCTAGAAATGAAAGAAAAATAAGATCAAAATATGCTCTTAATGGGTATACAATAATTGTTAGACATGCAATGTATAAAAATTGGAAAGTACGTTAACCAATTACCTTGTGATGATTTAGAACACAGTACTGTACTGTGGCACACCTAAAATACTGTTCCTCCTCAGTATAGTACTTTTATTGCCACTTCTTTACTAACAAAACCTTTACACTTTTAGAATCTATGCAATGCTTTTTATGTACAAGAAAATATTATATGTCATGCTAGGTTTTAAGTGGTGATGGTCTATCAATGTATAAAGATTTTAATGAAATCTCAGAAAAATAGATTCAACAAATAAGCACTTCGCACTTCAAGAAGTAGATACTGTGCCCTCGTGTCAGAAACACGTAGGAAAGCCATGCATTAATAACTATCAAACTAATTTAAAATCAGATTATTGGAAAAGTTCTAAAAACAACCAAAAACAACTAAATTATGGAACAGAAGTTTAGAAAAAGATTTAATAGTATTAGTCTTCAATGTATAATTTATTCGGAAGTAAATCACATGTAAAACTTGATAAATAGTAAATTGTACATTTGCTGACCTTTTTCAACACATTTCCAAAACACGGCTGCAAACGTATTGTAATTTAACCATTATGTAACTTTAATATTTATCACCTGACATTTGACTCAAACCTTTTTATCTGATTTGGGATCATTCCCTATTACAGTAACTTCACTGATATTTTTGGCTTTTTAGTTTGGTCATTTTATACACTTAGCAGCTATCAACACTATAATTTCCTCATTTATGATCAAACAAAGGGTGCTATAAAATGGATTTATTAAATCCCACACAGGTAACATCCATATGACCAATCTTGCATGTTGAACAGTTCCTACCATCCAACACTAGAGGGATGGGGATAAAGCGTTAATTTCTCAAAAGGTTGCTGAACCTTCCATGAACCTGTCTTACAGGCACGAAAGACTTCCCTGTTGCTACCGACATTTAATGCAGTCTCTCTCTCTCTCTCGTGTAAAATTACCTTGCTTCCTAATTTATATATATTTTTAAAGATAACCTGTTTGTGATATAACATTTTGTATTGCTCCCAATATTTTAAGTATTCAGTTCCAAGGATTAGTTTTAAACCTTAATTTTGTAATTTATAATTAATACCTCTCGGCACTTATAGCATTTCCTGGGAACCAAATAATAGTCACACACAATCAAATTAAAAATACTACCATATGGTTAAAGCATACAATATACATGTACAGCATGTTCATGTATATTATAAACTTTAACGAAACTGTCATATGTGATTAATGAGACTGTGAACTTCAGAGGACATTAACATGACTTTGGAAAAAAAATTGTAGCCACAAAATCCTTCAAATGACCTCAGTCAAATTGTTGAGAAGAGACATGGTACAGATTAAGATAAGGCACAAGAGTATCACAGACAGTAATAGAATTTCTAAAGGTCATTTACCCATTCAAATTTTGTTCAAATGTCACCAATTGTTGAATGAGAGAAACAAATTGAACACAACAATTTAAAAATGTGTTTTTCTTACTCCAATACAGAGGCCAACCTTGGTATGTTACTTATTCGAGCTCAATATAATCTTGTAGATAGAAAATATGGAAAAGTATCACTATTAAAAAACCAGTGTTATATTATTATATAGTGAAATGATTCTTTCTGGATAAGCCCTGGTGGCTCTCTGAAGCTATCTCCTTGAGATGGTTTCCAGCTACTAGGTCACACCAGCCATGGAGTTCTCTTTGGCCTGCTGGGTACTGGGGACCAGAGGCAGAACCTGGCCACACTTTCCTCTCCTCAGAGGTGCACAGAGCAGGTCACAAAACTGTCATCCCACTGGGAAAGCATCAAGAAAGTCAGCTAACCAATACAGGCCACTGCTGGGTTCAGAGATCAAAGCATTGAAACTGCCATCTCCAAACACTGTACACAAACGACTGAATCTCTCGAAACTAGCATGAGGTTGTTAGCACTAACACACAGTTGGGGGAGGGGGGGGGGGTTGTCTGATGTCCAGATCTCCCCACCACTCCAAGACAGGTTTGGAGCAGATGTGAAGACTACATGCACTAATCACCAGTGAACTTGGAAGGGAGGGAATCAGGAAGCCACTGTGGCTCTCTGAAACTAACTACCCACAGAGGAGATATTATGGGCTACTCATGCCCATGCCACCACTTGAGTGCTTAATCCTTATCAATCAAAGATAAGGGACTTGCCAGGGATGAGAGACTACACGTATTCAAGACAAAGACAACTGACAAGAAACGACCCAAAGCAATATAGGCATAATAAAGCCCAGGAACATTTAACTAAATACCTGGCTGCAAAAACCATGTAAGACCACCACAACCCCCATATTCAAATATCAGCCCAGGACATGTTAGCAGACCACTGCAAGAGCAGCATACTTATGAACTTCAAAGGCACGAGGGTAGACTGCAGGTTGGCAAATGCAGACAACTTAACACTTTCACACTCTTGGCGCTCAAAAAAAAATAATACCCTAGATGCTTTCGGCGCTCCGCGCGCCTACGCGGTAAGGCCGAAAAAGTGTACACTCTTTTTACTGTCCTGATAATAATTGAAGGCGCACGTATTTAAATTTGGTATCACTGTGTTCGCAATAAAATTGTCTATAAGAACATATCTATAAAATGCCGCCAAACCATAAGGACTATCAACACCAAATAAAAAACTATTCAGATCACTCGCCAAGAGCGCCAAACAGCAACAAAATGTTTCCACTCTCTTAATGATTGCGAAGCCTACAGTTGTCCTACATCGCTAATTGTGGTATCATTGGAATCGCAATAAAATTCTCTACACGGACATATGCATATAAATATAGATTCAATGTCGTAGCCCACCCAAAACAGTGTGGGAAGTGGCCGAAGTGTTACCCGCGGCAGCATATCGGCGAAACTCGCTTTGAAAAGTGTATATTCAATTCACTGTCCTGACATTATTTGTCGATGTATGTATTTCATTTTTGTACCAATGTGCTCGCAATAGAATGTTCTATAAGAACATAAGTATTAAAGGTCACATAAGGATGCGTTCGACCGGCAACATATATAAAAACTACGTCGATTACACTCGTCGTGTCAATAATACAATTGTTTTACCACGATGATTCACATCCACGCCGTTTTCTTTTATAAGCTGTTCGGCTATTAGAGAAAACGTAAATTTCATGGCAAACATTTGTATACTATTCCCAAGTTGATCGGATAATAAATGGATTTTATACAAATATTTTTTCGATGGACTACAGGCGTCGTCTGTTATGCGGAAACGTAAGAAAATACGGTGACGACTCATGGATAATCCTAAGCGCGAAAGTGTTAAGAAACATGAGCCTTGGAACAGGGAAATTACGGAAAAAGGATAAACCCACAAATTGTCCATTGAAGCAGAATCGGTGGCACAAAGGTAGTGGCAGAGCCCCCCCTCCACCACCAGACACAGCACATGAAGCACACCCGACTGAACCAACCAAGCATCAACCTCTTTGGAAGCACACAACTCATTCTTTGCCAGAAAAGAAGGAGACAGCTGCAAATGAACAATGTCCACCAGGGAAAAAAAAAAAGCCCTGCCTCCTGTAAAGAGCATGTAGCTTCCCAACCCTACAATTGCAGGCTAGCACCAACAGAAAAATTGGCTTTAAGAAAAAATCATGAATCAAAGGGGGAACTGTAAACTGTGGGAAAGAAAGATGAGAACATGGTCAAGAGACCAGAAAGGCTCAGATGGCATATCAGCAGGCCAGAGGTGAAATAATGCATAATACAGATTCTGAAATGGAAGAATGATGACAAAGGGACAGGAAGTGTCAAAAAAAAGTGCCAAATTTCTTCACACTGTCACCAGGAAAACAGATGTGGGACACCATCAATTTAGCCACCTGCTCACCATAAAGATAGCAGTAAAGACACTTCAGAAAGAGGCAGTGGCCAGATTCTGGCTCTGGTCCCTGATAGGCCAAACAGAACTCCATGGCTGATTTGATCTAGTAGCTGGGAGCCATCTCGGTATCATGGCTTCAGGGAGCCACAAGGGGCTCCTCCAGCATAAGTTTTCTCAGCTAAAACTACTAGACTGCTAGAAAAGACAACTAATGCAATCTAACAAATTTCTAATTGCATATGACCTTTAAGATAGTCCTGCAGATAAACTGATTTTATACAGGTAAAGATCCAGCAATGGCATTCCTGTTAAGAGCCCAGTTAAATTTTTTTTAACTTTTATACCTAGAAAAGAGAATGTGTCCGAGGTTGGGGGGCCAGACGCTTGGAGTTAGCCTCTCCAAAGTTTTGTAGTGTGACTGGTCTTTGACCAGGGTTGGTCATAGGCAGGTCAGGTTGATCCCAATCTTTTAAGCTATTTTCCAACCTAGCTAAATAACCAGTTTCCATCCTCACTAAAATTCATCAAGCATATCATATTCTACACAATAATAAAATGTTTGTCTAATATAGTTGTGTTTTTGATGACAGCTCAGTACAGATGGTTACAGTGATGAAAATGTGGTGAAAGGCAGGGAAGGTGGTGAAGGGTTAGGGGAAGCTTGTAGCTGGGGAACCCAGTGGTGCCCAGATAGTGATGATGGTCACGGTAATTAATGAAAATAGTTTCAGTAATGAGGATGGTCATTTATATTACAGTTGGTTAGTGGTGATTGTTGTGTAGTAAAGACAGTTATGAAAGTGCAGTGAAGATGTGGCCTCTGTCACCTGATCAACACTGGGTAAACCCTCCCCCCCCCTTCTAGTATATCTTCTTGAGGCTATCTTGAGAACAATTTCGGGGCTTAGCGTCCCCACAGCCCGGTCCTCGACCAGACTTGCAACTTATCAGTATTATCAAGATTTTATATAAATTTTATACCGACTTTCAGCTGGCTATTATGTACAGTATATCCCCTTTAACACACCAATTTTAGGTGGTAGTTAGAGAGTACACTGTATACACAAATATTTACTACACATTGTAATCACTGTATGGATGATAATTGTAATAGTGAGATATTATATATATGGTATGAACAAATCCACAAGGGCCGTGATGATGGTTCGAACCTACGTAGGAGAGGATCCCAGACGTGCCTTAATCGACTGTGCTACGACATGGTAAAAGAACTGCAACCGGGAGTTCAACTGACCTCACACGGATCCTGCAGACTCCGAGACACAAACCAGGATTTTACACAATTCCCCCATGCACTCGAGCTTTGTCAATAAGCTATTCTATCTCTTCGCTCTTACTTCATTACACACACAAATCAGGCTATTGTGATTTCTGTGTGTATATGGTATGAAATAAAATTTAAAAATTTTAACAGCCAACTTTCTAGGGTATCTAGAACCGTGTTAAAAAAAATTATCATTTCATTTTGAGCATCTATAAAAGATTTAGTACTTGTTATCTGAAAACTAAATATTCTATGCACGAAAAGAAATTGTACAAAACAAATTATTGATGAACTAGCAAAATTCTGACATTATTCAAGCACACAACATACTAAGACCAGAAAAAAAAATGACTGCTACAGATGGCTCTGACAATAAGCTTCACCACCAAGCACTAACATTTTGTATTTGGGTCTTGAACATGAAATACTATGGACAACATTTTCAACATTTGGTAGGAAAATGACAATGAAGTCAAATTGCCTTTCTGTATGCTGTAGTTAAAATTTAATACAAAAACTGGACCATGTATTTTAAAACACTGTTCATCAAAACAGTTCATACTTTTTTTTTCCTTCTAACTCCAAAATGATACTGGAAGTACATTCTTGTCATTAGAATATATAACAGTTAAAATTTTGGAGGACTTGTGGCTGGAAGTACTGAACCTTATATGTAGAATAAAAATACTTGGGAAGAATAATGCTAAGCTAGATTAGCTAGGAGTAACCAGGAGATGATGGAGAATAAGAAGCTGATGATACAGTGTGCCGAGGTGGAGACAACGTAATAGGTGTATATGGCAAACTTGACGGAGAGTAACGCAAAGATGTGGAACTACATACTGAACTGGCTGGAGAATAAGATGGTGGTGGTGGTGGTGTATTGGGGCTGGTGGCACAAGAACCAGCAGTGTCTGGTAGAAAACCTAATTTGGAGGAGGGAACATAAGAATGACAAGTCTGGAAGGAAGGAAACTTGGAAGAATACGATGATGAAAGTTGAATGCAAGGAGAAGTTGGTCTGTAGTGGGGTAATTCAGGTGTATAGGCAAGGGATGATTCGTCTGAGCCTAAGGAGCACACACTATTTGTGGGAGATGGTACATATTCTGGCAATGCTTGAGCCCCATTATGTATGTATGTGGGACGGTACGGTGGGGGAGAAGTGGAGCTGTAAGAGGCCATTATTTCAGGTGATGGCTGAGTTGGTACATATTCATCTCTTGTTGATGGAAGTTTGTTGGTAGTAGATTCTGATGTAGTCTGGTTTCCTCTAGGAATCCAAGAAGGTTGGTAAATAGGAGGAGAAGCAGGTTCAGATGATGAGGAAAAAGAGTAAGATGGGCAGTTTGGTGAATATTCTAGTGGGGCAAAAGTGGTGTAAGTGGGAGATGTTGGAGAATATCTGGGTGGTGTTGGGGCCCTTGGAATCCATGTAGGATGGTAATCTGGAGGAGAGATGGCAGAGTGGGCTTGTGCTGTTGGAAAGTTAGACGAATACACTGGTGAGGATCCTTGTATTTGTGAATGATGAAGACTATAATTAGATGGAGAATATCCTGGTGGGAGTGGAGGAGAAGTTACAGTAAGGGATGTAGGATGATAGTTTGATGATGAATGTGAGAGTGAGTAGGAGGCACCATTGGTTAGGTTTGGCGAGTAAGGACTCATGTAGCCTGGAGACATACAACTGCTAGGCTATAGACACCAGTAAGGTGAACACCAAGGATATGACCCTATTCTCGTGCTCTTGTTTTCTGCTGCTACCCAACAAGGTCAGTTCACCTGTAGGCATTGGAGAAAATACATGAACAAATAATACATATAAGCTCATAAAATTACATCTTATTATCTAAATTAACATAAGCACACCAGAATACTATTTGTAATTTGTGTTTGCACATACTCTCCAGTGAAAGATAAGTAATGAAAAGCCAACCTTACAATGTACAGTATATATTATTGTAATACTGTGTAATTAAGTTTAAAATGAGCAGAAGTAAATAAAGGAAGCCCTCAATCTGCACGGTATATGAATATGCAGATTTGGTGGTGCATAAGTAAGCTATTTAAACTAAGTTTGCAATTAGAGAGAACTTCATCTTAAATGGGACCCCGAGTACCAGGAAGTAGGATGCAATAGAAAAAGTTTAATCTATTAGTATAACCATAGTGAACAGAAAATAACTACTCTTCCTGCGGTGCCGGTCACTAGATTGGAATTCGATGCCAAATGTCAGAAAAAATAAACAAAATATTCAAACGCATATGTACTTTCTATTAGTAAATGAAGACTCAAAATCATATTTTGAGTCATAATATTTAAAAAAAAATTCAAAAGTGAAACAAACACATTCACAATAGCTATGCTAATTTAAATTTTTCTGTCCTATTCTGTATACAAATCATTCTGGGTGTGTATTTGCTGTTTACCTGTTAACTGAGAGGCCTCTGATTTTATTGGAATTATGGCATTAACCAAAAGTAACTATTTCATAAATAATAAAATCCCATAACCATGTAGAGGAATACTGTATACAGTACTTAAGTCATCTGTTTCTACAAATGATTCTCTTAGGGGTCAGTGGAAAATTTGTGTAATCTTTAAGTAAATTGAGCATTCAGCAACGTATATGGTAATGCCCTTTCTTAACCATACAAGTTTAAACCAAATTCTGTTTAATATAAAACAGGAGTAGAGAGCCAGAGGAGAAAATTGTGTTATTGTTCGTGGTGTCTTTCTTACCAAGACTGCTACCATACTAGCCATCAATCATTAATATTAACATAACATTGCAAGCATATTTTATGTACAGTATACTGTATACGTATATACACGAGCTAGCATATTTGTACTTTTGACGACAAATGTTACCAATGGCTTTATGATCTATATGTGCCACTATAAAATTTGGGTGAATATAATACAATATAAAAGGCACAATTTGAATTCCAATCTATTCCGTTTATATTTTTTCCCCGGACACTTAAAAGGACAATTCAAAATATAATCAGCTTCAAACAGTTCATCCTCTCACCTATCAGCATTTAAGATATATACTGTAAGCATAACTGAAAAAATTGGCTAATGAGTTCTACTTGGCAGTGTGACTGCTAAGTAAACTTATAAATTTAACAAAGTCAATATACCTTGCCCTTAGCTGGGCTCAGAGCCAATGCCACAAGTAAATAAGTACGTGAAAGTGTGCTGTCTTGAAGATTTGCAGACATCAGGAGTCGAGCAACAGAAGTAACCACAAATTCGTCCGTCACCAAATCTGCAAGTTTTCAAATTACGCCAATGAATAAAAGTGAAGCATTAAAACATGTAATTAAAAAATAATATAACCTATATACGTGCCAGCAGAACTGTACAGAAATACAGTATACTGTTTTGTAGTTTGCTTGTCACTCAGAAGGAATACAGTACAAAACACCTGCGGCCTTTTCTTCTTTCATTAATAAAATACTGTATAATACGGTACTTGTATACACTAGGCCATGTAAGCAGCTGTCATGAGTGCGTACAGGGTGGAGGGTCTACAGTACCAGTAATCGGAAATATATCGAACGTGTAATATGTACACCAGTTACTATATATAAACATCTCAAGCTTGAGGTTCAATACAACTTGTGACAGGCAAGGTTTAATTAATGCCAAATTACATTACACTCAGTTGCTGGTCTAATGTCAGAGGTTAGCCCTTCGTAGCTCACCAGTGCAATGTGGGACATAATTCACACCACAGTATGCTGACAGCATGACTTGCAGCATATTGAAGAAAAAGGATCTCAAGATATTGATCCAACAGTCATTAAAAAGTTGCTCAGCAAGGAGCATGGTGTATAATATAAAAAAAAAAAGTGGGGGAGGGGGGGGTAAACATCCAACCCCTAGGATTAATGAATCTTTGCCTTAAAGGAAAAGATCATATAGCTGCACAAATCCCTCGACGTGCAACCCCATCTAATTAATTAATTCATTGTGTCGGGAGAAAGGAAGCCAGAGTGTATTCATACATGGTAGACTTATACCAAGGTTGAATTACTGACCCCACCCAGGATGCAACTCCACAACAAGCTGACTAACTCCTTAGTACCTACTTGCTGCTAGGTGAACAGAGGCATTAGGTGAAAGAAAATGTGCCCAACCATTTCTGTCCCACCTGGGATTGAAACCTGGTATTCTCGAATGTGCAATGAGAACGAACCCAACTATACTACCGGGATCTATACTACTGTCTCCAAGCATGGAGACCTCACCTTCAAAAGAGCATTAGTAGTTGCTTTGAATAAATACCAAGAGATATTCTGAGCAGAATAATAAAATCACTTCATAATTAAGTCAAATCTGACACCAGGAATGACTGAGGTCCATATAATTAACAATACACACCAAACATGACAAGCTTCATCTCATTAAGACCTTTAAAATACTGAACAAATTGAGGAACATTAATCCACACTTCTTTATATGGTTCAATGAAACTCTCACAAGGGGCAACAGCCTTAACAAGCCCCAACATCCTCAAGTTTGATCACTTCATATGGACATGCAGAAGTTGCCTCAGAGTTTTGACAGCTCCTGTATATCCTGGAATCATCCTAATGGTAGAACGGAGAGCAGAATACAATGTAATTTGGAATAATTAATGGCTTCAAAAATACAAATTAAGAAAAAAGCATAAAGTGTGAACGATGTAACAACAGCTTTAAGAGTCAAGGTAACAAGAAGGCAAGTCATTAGCACAAAGTCATGAGTGACAAAATCCAAAGAAAAGGCCTAGCAAAACAAAAACAAAAAATTAATTATGTATGTAATATTATTTATTATTATTATTTATATATACAATTCTTACATTCTTCTACAGCCACTAGTACGCATAGCTTTCGGGCAAGTTCTTAAACCTGTGCCCTGGAAAACGACCCCCGCAAAGAATTGTATTAACAACCAGGTACCCATTTTACTGTTGAGTTAAACAGAGGCTACAATTAAGGATTTGCGCCCTGTAAATCCTCCCAGGCCAGGATAGGAACCCAGGACAAAGCGCTCGTGGAACGCCAGGCGAGCGTCTTACCACTACACCACGGAGACATATACAGTGTATATATATATATATACACAGTATATATATATATTATATATATATATATATATATATATATATATATATATACCATATATATATATGATATATATATATATCATATATATATACCATATATATCATATATATATATCATATATATATATACCATATATATATATATACCATACATATATATATACCATACATATATATATACCATATATATATAGTGTATATGTAAAGGGCATAATTTTTTTTATTACCAGGAGATAGCTCCAAGCCATTACGACTATATATCACTGGGAAGGGGTCAGGATAAGGATTTGGGATGGGAGGGTGGGAATGAAGGAATGGTGCCCAACCACTTGGACGGTCGGGGATTGAACGCCGACCTGCATGAAGCGAGACCGTCACTCTACCGTCCACCCTAAGTGGTTGGTATGAAGAGCAGAAGCCAAAATATGAAAATCAAATAAAGCTCAGCTATGTAAACAATGCCTTGAGAGCCACCATGAGGGGGGGGGGGGTCAACACCTGCCTCACACGCGCCTCATTACACACATTATCTTATACCACCCGTGTCCCATATACTTACTGGAGCGTGTGTATATATTATATATATATATAGTATGTAGTATTACCAGCAACTCCAGCCGCCAGTGATGTGTTGTAGAGGAGTAAGGAGCCCCAGACCTGTTCCAGCAACACTGGCGCGCACCTCACACTCACCCACGGTTGCCAGATCTAAATTGCTGAAAGTAGCGAGCTGACGCTCTAAAAGTAGCGAATTTGTAATAAAAGTAGCCCAACTTTTTTTGGAGTGAATGATACGAGTTTCAAAGTAATATATTTTGATATATAGAGTACACTACACGATGTTAATTGTTTTATTATTATTATTTCTGCACATACACACACACACACACATATACATACATACATTATGCACTAGGAAGTGATGTGGTGGAGGCTGACTCCATACACAGTTTCAAATGTAGATATGATAGAGCCCAGTAGGCTCAGGAATCTGTACACCAGTTGATTGACAGTTGAGAGGCGGGACCAAAGAGCCAAAGCTCAACCCCCGCAAGCACAATTAGGTGAGTACAATTAGGTGAGTACATACATACATACATATGTAACGTTTCTATTGTTACGTAAAGTATGGTGACAATAAACACAGACACTAAGATACTATATATATATTTGGTCTAATATACTCGCTATATTTGGTCTAATATACTATAGATTATACTAATATAATCTACTCGCTACAAGTGTATGAAGTAATTACAGAGTTCAAAGTACCTTATACCATTTGGTCTGAAGTCACTTATAACAGGGCAATCACAGATATAGTGTTGGTGAGTATGTCCCAGCTCTTGTTCACATAGTTTACAATTGGAATATTCACCATTGGGGGCTATTCATTACCTGCAGCCGTCTGCGATACATATCGATATCCTAGCCTAATTCTGGCAATTACAATGTCACACTGTCATTGTGACACTAGTGGAAGTTTTATGCTGTCCGTTCATATAATTCTCGATTCTAAACATGTTTACTTAGTTTAGTTCATTAATTATGCACCCCATATATCATCTTGTGGGCGGTAGTGGAAAAGGTTACAGAGGCATATAAACATGTCATAGCTCTTTATACTCTTGCTTTCTGGCTTTTGTGTGTCAGTGACTGCTCTTCTGTCTTCCCTAATTTCCTAAAATATTGCGGCTTTGACAGAAGAGATTGGAATGCCCATATCCCACTCAACTTCAGGCTTATCACATTCAGTTTTAGCTGCCTTGTTTGTGTCATCATGCTGGACAACACCTATATGAGAAGGTATCCATACAAATGAGACTTTGAAATGGTCACTGCTTGATCGCATGCGGGGATATTTCTGATGGGGGAGAAAGAAACAATTGCGCAGCGCGTCCCGCGGCGTTGCGCGGGCAGTTTGGGGCCGTATAAATACGGGCGCACAGAGGGGCTCTGCCCTCATTCCGCCTGCCCTCGCCGCTGCCCTCGCAAAGCCCACCCACCTCCCCCTTTGCAGTCTTTCCCCCAGATGGCGGGTGGGGAAATGCCCCATCACTTTCAATGTGTGCAGATGCTTCTTCCAAGGGGTATGGACTAACGCTAGGGGCAGCCTAATTCAGGGGAACATGGTCGCAGGTCTGGGGTCGGCTCAACATTGCTTTGCTCGAGCTCTACCCTTTCTTCATGGGCATAGCACTTTTCGCCCCGGTATTGGCCAATAAGAGGCTGGTGTGTAAATCGGACAACAGTGCAGTGGTAAGCGTGCTCAACACACTCTGCTAGGTGCCCCCTACTAATGCAAATTGTCAGGCCCTTGGCAGTGCTCTTACTCATCCATAACATTACACTCCTACCCTCCCACCTCCCAGGAAAATTAAACGGGGTTTGTGATGCTCTTTCCCGCTTACAGACGCTGCCGCCCTTGTTCCTGCGAGAAGCAGGCCTCGCCGAGACGCCGACAACAGTTCCTGCGCACCTCCGGCTGCCCTGCAACTTCACCCTGCAACTGTGAGGACACTATTCAACTCCCTGCAGCCAGCGACGAGGCGTACTTACAGGGCTAAGTGGGTGGAGTACGCCGCCTACGTCTCGGCAGGGCGGCGAGGAGAATGCCCCTTTGATGCTGCACCTTCGACTCTGGGGAACTTCCTGCAATCCCTGCTCTCGCGGGGCCTGGCTTACCGCTCTCTGCACGCCTATCTAGCGGCCATCGCCTTCGTCTGCAAGCTACACGGTAGGAGGGACCCAACTCGGCACTTCCTGGTCACCCAACTCCTCAAAGGGGCACGTAACTCCGCACAGCGGGCCCCTGCACGGCGTCTCCCTGTGACGAGGAGCCTCCTGCATCGCCTGCTGCGGGCACTGGGAGGCGTATGTAACTCTGCCTATGAGAAGTCGTGCTACAGGGCGCTCTTCTCCCTGGCTTTCCACGCCTGCCTACGCCCGGGTGAGGCGGTCTACGTGGAGCATGGACGACACACGCTCAACCTTGAGCAGGTATCACTTACGACGGCAGGAATAGATATCGTCTTCAACACCTACAAGCACAGCGCAGGGCGCACGCCCACCCTCTCCCTGAGAGCGAACCCTTCCAGCAAGTACTGCCCGGTCCGTGCTCTGTCTAAATACTTTAATTACAGGGGCCTGGGCCCGGGGCCCATATTCAAACACGCCGCAGGCGCTCCTGTCACCATGCAGGCGAGATTTCTCCAAGATCCTACGCTCTGCCCTCTCGGCGCTAGGCTTGCCTCCAGATGACTACGCGCCGCATTCCTTCCGTATCGGCAGGGCCACCCAGCTGTCTCGGGATGGGCTCGCCACTTCAGAAATAATGGCAGTCGGCAGGTGGAAGAGTAGTGCTTTCACATCCTACGTCAGGCGGGACGTTGTTGCTCTGCCACTTTGAGTGCCTCACGCGGCCAGCTGGCACTCGCCCTTCGGGGGGGGGGGGGGGGGTCCGGCCGCTGGCCTGCGGTGGGGGTGCAGCGCCGGTCCCCAAGTGTCCCGCTGTCCGCAGCTAATACTTTGCCCAGTCTAGGTGCTAGTAAGCCCTACTTGTAGTCACCCCCTTCTCCTTATTCATTAAGTCTTTCCGGCCTCTTGGTCGGGTACATTATGTGTTATGTGGTCTCTCACTTATTAGTTACTCTTTGTGTCCTGCCTGTTATATCCTAGTGTTATATAATTACTACACATTTGCACTCGGCCTTAATTCTAGTACCAGTTAAGCTTTACGTTTCTGCAGAATTAGTTTCCATGTCACTATAGGCTAAGGTCTCATAATTACTACGGGTGTACCTTTTAAGTTAAATCTAGTCCGAGGACTTGGAATTGTTACTGTTAATTCTTACTTTATATATTTACATGTTCTGCAGAATTTAATCTTCAATAAACTTTAAAGCCCCATACTGCCATTATCTTTCTCCCCCTGATCAGAAAATGGTCACTGCTTGATCGCAAGCGGGGATGTTTCTGATGGGGGAGAAAGAAACAATTGTGCAGCGCGTCCCGCGGCGTTGCGCGGGCAGTTTGGGGCCGTATAAATACGGGCGCACAGAGGGGCTCTGCCCTCACTCCGCCTGCCCTCGCCGCTGCCCTCGCAAAACCCCACCCTCCCCCCCTTTGCAAGCGGCTGCTTTTGTACCCCCGTCATGCTTTGCACAGTTGTCCCCATTGTCTCCCCACTGCATGTGGGAAGGGGGGTGCAGCGCCGGTCCCCAAGTGTCCCGCTGTCCGCAGCTAATACTTTGCCCAGTCTAGGTGCTAGTAAGCCCTACTTGTAGTCACCCCCTTCTCCTTATTCATTAGGTCTTTCCGGCCTCTTGGTCGGGTACATTATGTGTTATGAAACGCTTTGCGTAATAGTGGCTTTAGGCATTGTATGTACTAGCTCTACCTATAAGTCAAACAATCCTTGTAAATATTTATTGTATGTATGTACCTTACCTAAATAAAATTGTATTGTATTGTAATTATGTGGTCTCTCACTTATTAGTTACTCTTTGTGTCCTGCATGTTATATCCTTGTGTTATATAATTACTACACATTTGCACTCGGCCTTAATTCTAGTACCAGTTAAGCTTTACGTTTCTGCAGAATTAGTTTCCATGTCACTATAGGCTAAGGTCTCATAATTACTACGGGTTTTACTTTTTAGTTTAAATCTAGTCCTCGGACTTGGAATTGTTACTGTTAATTCTTACTTTATATATTTACATGTTCTGCAGAATTTAATCTTCAATAAACTTTAAAGCCCCATACTGCCAGTATCTTTCTCCCCCTGATCAGAAAACTCCTACTGTTTGCAATAATAATGTTGTTTATAATGGATGTTACAACTACAACCTTTTGAAGATCAATGCTAATTTTATCTAGATAATGTAATAAACGAAAGTTTTCTATGTCAACAGAAAGGCAGAAATATAAGCTACACTTTAAATACTTGTCATAAATATAACTGAAGTGAAAGCGAAGATATATGCATTTGATACTGTACAGTTTCTTGATGGCTTGCTCTAAGAGTGTGAAGCCCTTCACACCAGCCTATAAATTGTGTAATTTATTTCCATATATGCTAATTAACCTTAAAATCTATATGTCAGAAGGAAGGAAGATGTAGACGTTAATGTGACAACATTTCAAGAAATATCTCTTTAAAGTTAAATAATACAATCCTATCGCCGGTGTCCGGACACATGAAAGCTACTTAGGTATCAGTGGCCAGCCAGGTGGAGATCACAGGCTGTACAATACTGATAAATTATGTAATTCACAGAGATACGTTGATATTGGGTGTGCCTCGTATCCCCTACAACAACAAGAAGTTCGAGAGCGATGAGGCCGCCACCTACTAGGATCGGATGCGGTGGGCGCATCCGATCCCACGATCGTCGTCGCCCCTAAATCAACACAACAACAACAACACCTACTAGCTTCAGGATGTCGTCGAATCTAAATCAACAATATACTACCGCCGCTACTTTCTCGGAAACGTAAGTACCTGCCGCTTTACTTCTCTCACCCTGCCTAGCCTGGCCTGGCCTGACCTGGCCTAGCCAGACCTGACCAGACCTGACCTGGCCTAGCCTTACCTAGCCTAGTCTGACCTGGCCTAGTCTGACCTGACCTGGCCTAGCCTTACCCAACACTAATCACCACACGTGACAGCCCAAACGAATCGCAAATAAGTACACG